ACAAAACGAACAAAACGAACAAAACGAACAAAACGAACAAAACGAACAAAACGAACAAAACGAACAAAACGAACAAAACAAATAAAGCGAAATTTGTATTACGAATAGAAACCATGCATTAATATTAAAATCAAAAAACAACAATAAATTAGGGCTTCTGTTCGAATAAGGTTTATTAGAATTATTCATTTTATTCGTTATGAATTTAAGTATTCAATTACATTGAAAGCTTATTCGAATAAAACTAATAATTCAAATAAATTTTTTAATATTAATAATAATAATAAAGTTATTAATAATAATTCGAATAATCCAATCTAATTAAAAAATTTTTCTTAATCTATTTTTCCTTAGTATTAGTCCTTGAAATAGTGATAATAATAAATAATAGTAGCTGACATTTTCCTTAAGCCATAGTACTAGCAATTATTGTTTATATTATTTTGTTAGACCTATATTTTATAAAATGAATAAACTAGTAATTTGAATAAAATGAATAAAAAAACGTATAAATTTTTATATGAATATAACGAATAATTTTAATTCGAATAGATTTTTAATTCGAATAAATTTTTTAATTCGAATAAGAATTTGTGACTCGAATAGAAACCCCACAATAAATAAACAAATAACTTTTATTGCGAAACAATTAATTTTGTTCCTTTGGTGTTAATGATTGAATCAATCACACAAGTAGTATATAGTCAATTTAAACAGCATTGTTTTTAAAGAAATTATTCAAAATAATATTATTAAATGTATAAAGTTTAATGATTTTTAATGTTGCAAACTTTTTTGATACATCAATCTCAGTCTAAAACAAAATACAAAGGATAAATTTATTATTTATCAAAAAAGAAATAAAAAAACTTTAAAGTATATAAATATAGTAGATTCAAATAGATTTTATTAGATCAAATGGTACACTACAGCAAATTTCGGAGAATCAATTACCAAAAAGTCTTCAAATTTTTTTGATGTAAATTGTTTTATCAACAAATATTCCAAAAGCACTCAAGATAAAAAACTTTTGGATGAGTTTGTCAACTAACCATTGGTAAAATTATAATTTATAAAGTATTAGTAGCTACTATTGATTACAAGTTTTATTGTATGTTAAATAATAAAATCTTGCATATTATTATGCAAATATTACAAAATTATCAAAAAAAATATTAATTATCATTATCATTATCATCATTATCATCATTCTCATTATTCTTATTATGATTTTTTTTTAATTTTTTCACAATTTTCTCCAATCCATCAAGTTTTTCTTCCAACTCTTTGATTCTTTCTTCCAGCCTATCGTAACTTCTTTTCAATGATGAATAATTGTATTGTATTATTAAATTATTTGATGCTAATTCATTGTCGTGCTTTCTTAGATTTTTAATATCCTTTGAAAGCTTTTTTATAATTTTATTATTATTCCCAATATCATCATCAACCATCATTAATAAATCAACATCATCATCGTCACCATCATTGTCAGTTATTGTTGATATGTTTGATGTCGTTGATAATGTGCTTGGAGTGGATTGAATGGGTTTGCCAGAAATTTTAGATTTATTTGATGGTTTTGAAGAAGTAGGGGAAGTTTTTGTTTCTAATGATGGAGATTTAGATTTTATTAAGGGTCTGTGATTTTTTGTTATTTTAAAAGGTATTCTAGAAGATGTTATCATGGGTATTTTAGAATAAACTGAAGATGATGATTTCGAGGATTCAGAAGAAGAGGATATTCTAGATGAGTGAATTGGTATTTTGGATGACAATGTCGTTGTTTTAAATAATGTTATTGCAGATTGTGTTAATTCTGACGGAACTTCTAAATTTCTTTGATTAGAAGTTGTTGTTGTTGATGTTGATGTTATTATTGGTGCAGGAGCAAGTGTAGATTCCGAAACTATTGTTGAAGTTGATTCAATTGTTGATGCTGACAAATCCGACATGTTGTTATTTAAAGCTTCTATTGGTGTTGGAGCGGGTATAGGTGTAGCGGTGGTAGATGTAAGAGCGACGAATGTAGGTGTGGGCGCAGAATATGAATCGACGTCATCAATCTGTGTAATTTGTTTGTCATCTGTGATTGTTGTAATATTATTGTTGTCTGGGTTGTTGCTGTTGTTATCATTGTCGAAGTTTAAATTGTTGTTTGTAAAGATGATGATGTTACTACCAGTTGTTGATTCAATATCAACGTCAGCGCTAACATTATCAATATCAATATCATTATTATTTTCAGTCGGCGGATCAACCCAACGAAAATAGCCGCAATCATTTCGGTTTAAATGTGAATATGTGCCATTATAATTGGCGCAACATGCAAACCGTCTACCAACATTAGGCTGCTTCCTGGACACATATATTTATGAAAATCACGTGACTACGCAAATTTTTGATTGTAAATTTTTTTCAAAACTGCTGGACTAGGTAAGTAAAATGTCTTGCACTATACTCCCAATAAAAAAATGAATGAAGGTATTTTTTTCTTATACAGAAAATAACTATTTTAAAAATATGTAGTGATAGTAATAGTAAAAGGATTTTTACATCATAATTTAATATTTTGCTTATAATATTTAGCTAAATTCTATAAAGGTAAATTAATTTTTACAACA